ATCTGGTCCTTCAAATTGCATACGCTTAGAATTGTGGGCAATTTGTGCTGAACTGGTCTCCACGTAATTAGACTTGTCCACTCTAAAGCGCAAGCATGAATAGCGAGTCAAACGAACACACCCAGACCAACACTCACGTACACATACAACAAAGTAACCAAGACATGCCCTCTATTGAGGGTTCTGATTAATTACACACTGTGGAAAGGGTATTTTCGTCACAGACACCGGAGCCTCAGTGGAGGGCGGCGAAAACGTTCTAGTTCATTTGTTCATGTCGCATTAACTTCTTCCATTTGGTCTTCATGCTCCACCTGTCAAAGGCACAACACGGATACATATTCATACAGTTCGTGCGCATGTCTGCCAGACTGAGCTCGGTTTAGATGGAGCCCGAGCCACCTCATCAGCCTCAGTATCTGGGCCAGACAGGACAGAACCCGATGTCACTAGGTCCTGGGGCTTCTGAATTTGCAAGCTGAAATGCAATAAGACAGCCACGTCAACGGACGAATCGACAGCAACAAGTGTAATGGCCTCGATATCGCTAAATTGTAGGACAGTTGCTGGGCCAAAACAGAGGCATACAGAGATTCGGCTGGATAGGAGAGGAAAGCCTAGAGTGTGGTTATGACAGAAAAGGAAAATTGGAATGGGTTTTACAGGAGACTTGGAGGCGAAGATGGCGAAAGAAAATACCAGCATCTGCACGACAAGAGCAAGGGTCAATAATTGGGGGAGCAAGGTCTGAGATTAGCATCGTTCCTCTTGGACAATGGGCCTCGAGTTTGCCGGTGTATGCACGTGCCTCTCTCCAAGTGACTAAGTGAAGATGATTAAGGGCAAAATCGCTGCCGTCCTGACAATGGGTAGCCATTTTTGTGCATAGGCCCGTGTTCATGCCCACTTGGACAAACGAGTATGAAGGCTCGGTAGGACGCTTCGGATAAGTCCGTCTCACAAGCTGGGCTTCGTTGAGCATACAGCTTCAGATGGCTAATATATTTATTTATTTATTTATTTTTATATTTTTATATATTTGCTTTACCGCATCCAACACAACCAGTCTATTATCTTCATGTGGAGGCGCTTCGGCCTGATTGGTCGGAACCTTATCCGGAGGGGTTAAAATCACCAATTTGCTGAGTAGGTGTTGAGTTATTGAAGAGTCAAGTCCTCACTCCTCCTCTCCAACCAAGGCCGTGAGCACGGAAAGACGAAATATTGAGCACTAACCTTAAACCGATTGTAAAGCATCATTCTAGCAAACCTTTTTACCATTCACTAGCCCTAAAGATGTCATTGAGACAACCAAATGTGCTAGCTGCCGCCACGACGACGGCCACAAATAGAGCAAATGCTTGTGCTATCAACGCCACAACAACTAAGAGTCCCAGAGACACCGTTACTGCCACTTCACGACCGCATGAATCACTAGCCTAGGCAGCGTTACTAACACTTCTAACGTATTTTTTTCACGTTTAGACAGCCGAGGCACTGGATACGAGGTCTGATTCAGTTGCCATGAGATCAGTAAGTTTCCATGTTAGCCCCAGTGAGGTGACAGTGATTGATAAAACAGAGTTGCTCGCCCCACCTTCAACAGCCATATGCTACTGGTGGTGATGCCCAACGCTGGTGATAAATGATATTCCGTTATTTGTGCTTCGCTAGGCACCTTTGCGTGTCTACAAGAAATGCACTGGCCTCGTTGCTTTGCATGTGCACAAACAGGTCTCAAGTTTAGTCAATTCAGAGAGAATTGCTGTGATCTGACGTGAGCAAAACACCCGTGGCCTTCCGCAAATACGTTTAGGCTTGAGTAAGTATCGTCAATTCTTGAATGAGCTCTTAGTCAG